ATGCTGGCGAACTACACGTATTATTCTCTACACGACCGATGGTGCTACCTCGACTGAAAGATGAAGTACCTAGACTAGCTACTTTCAATTGTATCTACCAATTCAAGTGCGCTGATGGTGGAGCGAGTTATATGGGCTCAAGAATATCTTCCAGTATGTCTAAGTAAAGGTGTAGTAAAAACCATCAGCAGTTCAATATTAGACCACCTAGTTCAAACCAGCCACAAAGCCAGCGTTGAAGAATCCTTCTCTATCATCTACCGAATACCAAATAAATTGCCAAAAAAATCGAGGTACCGTATTCTGTAAACAGCAGAGGCTATTGCAATTCGCCTCAAACAACCAGTGCTTTGTGTGCAAAAGAAGCAAGTTCAGCCAGCTACTACTGCACTGGCCGGCTTTTAGGGGAGACCATAAATTCATGAATTTGTATTGTTATCTTTCCTAATTTTTCTGACATTCAGCTTACTTTATGTTGATGCTATTGGACTGTAATGTATTTATATTATTGATTCGATGTTATTCATAAGACTGATTCATTCACTATAATGTGTATGTATAACTGTAGAGCCTGATGATGAAGTTATCGAACAGAGTACTTTTTGTTCAGTATCCACTCTTTTGAAAATGGCAGATTACTTACAAACTAGATATAATTCAGAAGATTTGCAAATCAGGTGGATGATTTTTATGTAGTAGTTGTTTCCTCTGCCTTGTTAAGTAATGAAAGCTTTGCAAGTAAACCATCAAGCTCAGAGAAGAGAACTACATGAGAATATTTACAAACTGCACGCTACATGCTCAAAACTTTTGACAACTGTATAGCCTTACTGGAATGCATAACTGCGGTGATGATAAAGTAATAGTTATTCAACCAAAAATCATTTTATTCACATGAGATCGGTCGGTCGGTCGGTTTTCGACATAGAACTTTGCACATATGTGCAGCAGTCCAAGTCGCCACACTCCATGTAGCACGCAAAGCAAGAGAAGGAAGTAGAAGAAATGCATAATATAGACAGTAAACAGAGGTGTGAGACAAAGGAATAGTAATAACGGAGAACGAAACAGTTTCATTGGAAATCATAAGTCACAAGGAGTGGATGCATCTGCGCCACTGAGAACGATTTTGAGCCATGTCACCAATTGTTTCCAACCATTGGTTTTTACCATCCCGAGGGCCCCAACCAGGAAGTCTACATCTTCCTACGTGGCTTAGATTAACTGTTGTGGATTTCATTGATTGGTGCCATGTTTTGGTTTGACCGCCGCTAGCTCTTTTCCAGCCTGACCCTATATCAGCTAACATTGCCCGTCGAGGAAGGTGATGACTAGGCATACGTAGCACATGTCCTAACCATCTCAGTCGAAGTAATTTCACAGTCTCGTCGACTAATTTCCCCGCCTTACCTAGCACTCGACCGAGGCCTTACCTCAATATTGCTCACCTTATTATACCACTTCACGCGGGAGATAGAACGCAGACACCTATGATCGAAGACAGCTAATCTTTTCATGTCGTCTGCTCTCAATGGCCAGGTCTCACAGCCATAAAGGAGGGCGGAGCGGACTGTTGAGCAGTACACACGCCCTTTGGTCGGTAGTCGGATATCGCGTCTACGCCAGAGATGGCGAAAACTGGCGAATGCGAACCTAGCCCTCTGTATTCGTGCTGAAATTTCGTCGGAGATCAACCCGTTGGGGCTGATGGTACTTCCCAAGTAAGTGAAGCGGTCAACGTGTTCTACCACTTCGCTTCCTATTTCTAATCTAGGGGTCGATGAAGTCCAATCCTGCAGCATCATCTTACATTTTATAGGGGCGAATCGCATGCCAAACATGCGGAGATTGTTGCTCAGGGTGCTCAGTAGACTCTGCATTTTGTCAGAGTCCTCGCCTAGAAGGACTATATCGTCCGCATATTCTAAGTCAACGAGATTCTTCCCTGGTAGCAAGTCAATCCCTGAGTCGCTGAAGTGAGTTAGGGTTAAGTCCATTAGTACATCTATGATGAAATTGAATAGGAATGGGGATAATGGGCATCCTTGACGGACGCCACTAGTCGTCACCACTTCAGATGACAACTCGCCATAAGCCCTCACCTGGCTGCATGAGTACGAGTAGAGTGCCTTAATCAGTGCAATGTATTTTCTTGGCATTCCCTTTACAGCCAAGCATCGCCAGAGAACCTCCCGGTCGACAGAATCGAATGCCGCCTTTAGGTCAAGAAATATAATGATTGTCGGACGCCGGTAGGAATGCCTATGTTCTAGAATCTGTCGAAGGGTGAAGATGTGATCAATACACCCTCTACCTGGCCTAAAACCTGCCTGGTTTTCTCGTGTTTGTGTCTCCCGAGCACCACTTAAACTACGCAGTATTATTGAGCCTAGGATTTTAGATACTATATTAGTCAAGCTAATCCCTCTGTGATTATCACAAGACGACTTGTCCCCCTTCTTGTATATCGGGATGATCAGTGACTTACACCAACCCGATGGGACTTCCTCTGATTCCCAGACGCTGCCTAGAACCTCCGTTAACGCAGACAGTAAACTGTTGCCTCCGTACTTAAATACCTCTGGAGTCAATAAATCAGGTCCCGCTGCTTTGCCTAGCTTCAGATTGGTGACAGCTTTAGTAACCTCGGTTAAGGACGGAGGACCTGTGTCTATCTCCCATTCAGGGAGGTGTTGGATGTCCGGTAGGTTAAGTGTGGCTGTGGGCCAATTAAACTGCTCCTCATAGTGTTCTTTCCAGCGCTCCAGACGTCTATCCTGGGAGCTAATTATGGTGCCATTTTTCTCGGAGATTGTTTCGCTTATCATTTGTTTTTTACCACCTGTTTCCCTGATAAGCCTGAATAGTTGTCTGGTGTTGCCTATCGCCGATGGTTTTTCCATCTCTTTCGCCTTTGTCAACCACCACTGTTCACGGTCCTTGCGGAGACTTTTCGTAAGTTTCCTATTGTGCAGCTTTCGCTCCTCATTGAATTCGGAGCTCGCCGGAATAAGTCTTCTAGCATCTATCAGTTCGGAGGAGGCAGACGAAATCCAATGGTTTTTACTCACCTTTGGATTTACCTTATTCACAGCTTTTACAGCTGTATCTATGGCTGACTGAATATTCTTCCAGGCTTCTTCAGGGTGAGCGCAGCTGTCAAACTCAGATATGTGTTTAGCTAGTTCTTCCTCAAATAGGGACTTAGTTCCCTGGTCGAGCTGGGGGCGCGATGGGTTTACCGCCAGCTGTTTCCTACGTCCGTTCAGTCGTAAGCACACACGAGCGCGGACCAGTGCGTGATCGGTATCTACACACGTGTTCCAGAAGGAGCGACAATCTCCTACCGACCCACGCCAACGATAGCTTATTGCTATGTGGTCTATTTGTGTCCAGCGTTGATTTGATGATGGTGGTCGCCAGGTCAAACAGTGTCTCTCCTTGTGTTTGAAGTTAGTGCTTACAAGATACAAATGATTATCTGAACAGAACTGTAGGAGACGGTCACCGTTGTCGGTTCGCTGGCACGGAATTCCGTATGTGCCACCAACATTCTTCTCAGATTGACACAATTTCCCTACTTGAGCATTAAAGTCACCAGCTAAAACGACTATATCTGAGCGTCTAGCCTTTCGCAGCAAACTAGACAGCTTTTGGTAGAACTCATCCTTCGTTTCATCCGAACTGCAGTCAGTGGGGGCGCAGGCGGAGATTACGAAAAGGCATCGGCGAGTAGTGCAGTCCTTTCTCCTTTTCACTGATCCGTTCAGGCGGACAGCGCACATTCGGCTATCTACCGGGATCCAGTCAAGTAATGTCTTTTCTGCTCTAGTACTTAAAGCTATCCCAACACCAGCTAATCCTCGTGAGCTAGCCGTCGCATCTCCTGACACCCTCAAGGTGAATTTTGCAGATTCATCCTGTTGGCCAGGTGGGGTTAGGTGAATAACCACACTTGGGTCTTGTATGCGTGTTTCTGAAACACAACATACATCAATGGCTCGGGATGCCAGAGTCTTGGCTAGTGATGCTTGTTGTCCTATTTGGCAAAGTGTCCTAACATTAAATGCTCCTATATAAAATTGGTGGCGTGGTTTTAGGAGACAATCGATGGTGGCTTTTTGGCTTCCATCGTTATCAGTGCACACAGAGTGAAGGGGAAGTGAAGAGCCAATAAGTAGAGGAGTTGCATTGGTAGAAGGAAGGCAAGATAATAGAGATGAAGATGAAGACAAAGATGAGCGAGGATTAGAGGGGTTTCGCGTGCACTTCGGAGAGCATCTCATTAATACTTGGTTTACCTATATTCAATGGCCAAGACTATGGTGTAGTGTTTATCATGTTTGCCTTGCAAGCAGACAATCTGGGTTCGTCCCCCAGTGGTTTGCTCTGGTAGCTCAGTGGTAAAATGGTTGCCAGCCATGCAAGTGGTCCAGGATTCGATTCCCAGCCGACGAACTCCTAAACCTTATATTACAAACCTTGTATTAAGGATGCAGGGGAACAAAACTTAAAATATATATATTAACTGTTCGGTACTGAGAGATTGAGAGAACTGACTACACATGATGGTAATTGAAAGTTGAAAACTACGTGTCATCAAGTTTCCATGTATGCAGCGACCAAAAGGAAGAAGTAGACGTATCCCTCAGCTTTACAGCTCATAGCTGATGGAGGTTTAAAAACAAAAAGAAACAAGTACTCAGTAATAACTCTCCATAGTTTTACAATAATTCTTTCAGTTGATACGGATTCTTGAGGAAATCTACTGAGAAACAGATAGATCAGGACGAATTTCACCATATCATTGACATTCATGTTTAATGACTACTGACGACAAGCAACCAACCGATAGTAGATAAGTGAATCAGCGGTTTAATGACTGAAAACACACACACACACAGAATCATGTTACACAAATGAGAAAATCACGAGAATATGTAAAGGATTCACCGGAATTTAGCGGAAAAAATAAATAAATTAGAATTGAATGAGGTTACCTCGATGCGTCATCTGAGTAACTGGTAGAGGGGGAGAGACAGTAAGTTAAAATTTTACAATTCCGATAGCATTACTTAACATTGACTGTACCAAGTAGATAGATAATAAATGAAGTAGTTTATGTTTTTCAGTGAAAATAAATCAATGAAACTAATGATAAACAATATTATTATTATCAAGGTTAAATGAGAAAAAACGGCTTTAAGTTTAAACGACAAACATGACAACCAAAAAGATTGAAAAAAAATCAAAATACACCAACCCTATATTGGTTGGTTAAATTCAAAATGTTATTTGCTAAACACAATTCTAATATATGAACGCATAAAGTGAATTCTTCTACAAGAAGACAAGTGTCTTATAAAACAAAAGAATACTTGGCTGACAGTTATCGAAAAGTCAACAACTGAATTATCATCATGATGTTGTGAATAAATGACGGACTGAGTTGCAACATAGAACTTTACAGAGAGGTACAGCAGTTCAGGTTGCCCCACACTCCATGAAGCCCACAAAGTCATGACTTCGTGACAGTACTAAAAGTGAACACTAAGGATGAATGTCACAATATCGAAGTTTATTTAAGGCTAACATCTATCCTACTAACACCTTTATCATTTTCCAGACCTATGTTGTCCGATCACAATAGGGATGTAGATATTGACCCAATGAGGATTCATCTATGAATATAAAACTGCATAAGTCAAATAATATTCCCCAGTTGCGATATTACCTATCCCCGAATACTCAAACTTGTTCTACAGATCTCAACAATCATAATAGTAAGAACTTTGAAGTAATGATCAGCTAATCAATTATTATTATTATTATTTATTATTGTTTCCTTTAATTCCTAGAGGAACATAGGGCTTCAGCCGTGTGTCTCCATTGCGTTGAGTCCTCTGCTAGGGTCTTCACCTGGCTCCAAGTCTGTCCACATGCTTTCATCCCCTCTTCACATGACCTCCTCCAAGTCACCCTTGCACTGACGAACAACCCGCCGCTTCCCTTTCGGGTTGCATTCGAGCAATGGCTTGTCTAGTGATGTTACTTGATGGTTCGTTTCCTCAGAGTATGGCCAATCCACCTCCATTTCTTCCTGCATATTTGTTTCACAATCGGTTCCTGGTTGGTTCGCTCATTGCCGGAGATCTCTGTTGCTGATCTTTTCTGGCCAGCCATCTGATCTTGAGTATTGAGCGAAGACAACTGTTAATGAAGGTCTGTAGTTTGTTTGAGATGCTCTTTATGATGCGCAGTGCAAGTCTCTGATCCGTATAGTGAGTAGCACTGACTTCACATTGGAGTTGAAAATCCGGATCTTGTTTTTGATGCTAAGTGCTGTTGACCTCCACACAAACTTGAGAGTAGTGAAAGCTTGTCTTGCTTTTCCGATCCTCGCTGCTTTGATATTCTCGTCAGTTCCGTTCGCCTGTAGTTGAAACGATGCTTCCCAGGTAGGTAGAAGAGGTTGTTTCTTTCAGGTTCCTCCCACTTATGCTGGCTGATTGTTGTCTGTTGTTGTTGTCCAGGAATCTTCATCACCTCCGTTTTCTCTATGTTCACCTGAAGTCCTATCTTCTCTGGATGCTTCTTCTGCCAACTTGTTGCTTTTCGCTTGCATATCTTCCAGTTTGTGGGAAATCAGACATATATCATCGGCGAAGTCCAGATCCTCCAAGTTTTTTTGTGTGAGTCCACTTTATGTCTGTTTCCCCATTGCCCGCTGTCTGTCGCATTATCCAGGCTACTGCAATCAAGAAAATCACTGGCGATAATAGGCAGCCTTGTCTTACTCCTGTCCTCACTTCGAAGGATTCCGTAAGTTTCCCGTTGTGGATTACTTGGCATGCAGCGTTGTCGTACAGCCATCAGCTAATCTAGTTAGAATAATTACTTAACAATTAAAAATGCTCTAACTAATGAGTTGAGTCATATGAAATGAATGGGATAATCGAAATCAATGGTTTGCTACTATAAGACATAATAATTCATCAGAATTGATTGTAGTGTTGTGTGGATGTATTCGTCCTCCAGCTTCATGTAAATCCTGATATGATACACCTTTTTAACCTTTTTTCCCCTTTGTTTTAGATAGCTATGTCTTTCATTCGCTAAGTATTTGAAATGATATGTGTTTATATCAACGCATATACGGATAATATGCGTCGGTGGCATAGCGGTTAGGACGCTCGCTGACCATGCACATGGTTCGGGGTTCGATCCCCGGCTGACGCACTCCTTTACCTCGCTAAGCCAGAACTAAAAGCTGGTGAAGAGGAAAGGTTGGGCATGAGGCTACCAACCTCATCCTGTAAAATAAACACTGCTACAGAAACTTCAAGCCACTAGCTTGAGGCCCTATGTTCCACTGGGGAACGTGAAGGAAAAAAAATACGGATAATACCTCTATTTAAATTTCAAAGTTTCAATGTGAATACAGGCAAACGACAACAGATTTATAACTGTACTTGTGATAGTTGTCATCTCCGTAAATTTGTCACTTTAAGAAATCCATTAAGTATTGACGGGATTATACATCGGATCCCGATGAGGTGATGAAGGAGACAAGCGTGGAAAAGGAAGCCACTGAAACCCAATATCACCCAGTTGATGACTGTCCTCACATTTGGACCAGGTGAATCCAACCAGTCAGGCAATAGAGACCCATAAACCACTTATAAACTTCAGATTTATTGAATGTTTGAAGAACTTCCAGCCCACAAAATGGACACAGATTCAAATGAAATATTCTTCAAACCTTTATTCCACTTTATGAATCGGAATAGAGCGGGAACAATGGTTTGTGAAAAATAACACAATACCATCCTTTATTTCGTCAGCTTCTAATCAGCTACGCTACGCACAGCCTAAAGAAATTGTTACATTTGTGTACAGAACTATCAGTAGACAAAATAGTTCAGTTTCCCTCAAGTTTACCAAAGCTATGGCTATCAAACGCCTGAAACTCGATTTATGTGTTCAGAAAGAGGTAGTTATCAGTCTTCCCTTGCCCTAATAACTGAATGTCTTTATCTTATTTTTTTATTTGGTTACGTAATATCTTGCTTCATCATATTGTATTTTCTCTGGTCTTTTGTTTCTGTGATTTGAGTTGAACTTACCACATTGTTAGTCAGCTTATTTATTTACTCATCATCTTATCTACCTCGTGACTTTATTACGCAACTACACTGACACCGTATCCAAGCTCTTATTTTGTCGTTGTTTAAACTTGAACCTTCTGTGTATAAGTATAATTTCTGAGCACTGTTTACCAAGTTTGGAGTCTCCCATCAACTAACATTGTCGTGAGAGCTGCCTGCTAACCAAAATTGGTAGACAGCAGTTTACGTCAATGTTTACATCGCGAATCGGGGTCATGAGAAAAAACAAGAACAAAGCCTAACCTTGAGGAACTCAACAACCAATCACAGCAGACTTAGTGTAGGTGGATACGATTCACAGATATATATAACAGACTGTCTAAGAAACTGCCACAAAGAGATGACAGAATAACCTTCAGCAGGAAAACAACCATTCAGAAGATGCTGCTTCTCTGCTAGCAATAACGAATAATAATGTGCGTAAATAAATATCGATAAATATCTGTTGATTTTCTTAATAAACGATCTGTTGCCTAGCCCTGGTCTTCTGTCGTTACAACATCATGTAACACTTGGAAATAGGTTAAAATTGCTCTGTGCATAAACTTAACGCGCAGATGATGAGAAGCCAACGATGACAACATCGTATTCCATACAAACCGCTGTTCTTGCCTTACTCATACATATTTTTGTCATTAGGGAAGCCAATCGGATGAAAAGAAATCAACGACTATACACACACACACAAACACACAAACAAACAAAGAACTCATTGACCACTCTAATCATTATTACATCATGAAACAAAGGTGAATATATAACTTGACTGAACTGATTGACTCACTTTTGAAATCCAATAAAATCTTCATGATTTGTATTCATGTAGGCTAGTTGAAAATCGATTAGTGTTTTAATTTGTTGTTTAGTAGCTATCTCTAATTCACGAACCCGCATATTCACTATACGCTCAATCTCTTCACGAAGTCGTGGAAATCGTCCTACCTGAATATTAATAATCAATGCAAAGAGAAAGTTATGTCATTAGAAAAAACTATGCATACAATGGTGATGAGAGAGATAGAGAGATAATAACAGTAATAAAAAGAAAGAATAATTAACAGATGGTGAAATTATGACAAGTGTTATTATCATAGACATTTATAAATGCCATTACACAAATACAACATACATGCAAACTGACAAATTTAGAAGTAAGCAGTAAGCTTTATAACTAACCATCATGCTTTCTAGTAAATAGTACGCTTAAGTGAATACAAGGGTAGGAGGAAGGATTCGCAAAAGTAAAAGAAAAATTTAAGGTGAGTGAATCCACTCAAATAGTTGCATCACGTAGTGTCGATAAATTATCATAGTCGGTTTCAACAGACATTGCTAAGTGGTCACGCTATTTCATGAATTGGCAGAAGTTAGAATTCATGCGTTGGCCGTTGGATCTGGGTCCCAGTGGCTTAACGGTCTACGAGCTAGCTCGCCTTATAACCAGAAAGTCCGGGGTCCGAATTCCGGCGAGTGCGTAGTGGTGAAGAGTTCCGAACTGGGACGAAACAGTTAGCCGTCCAGTACTCCCTGCATGTTTTCGAGTGGTTCTTTAACCGATGTCAGCTCATGATGACATCCTCCAACCAATCCCATAATTTTCGGTTTCATACACACAAAATAGAAGGACAGACAGTAGATTTAATCTATTTTATGATTTAAAACGATAACCCATAGAATAGCTATGAATTTTAACACTTTCAATAATTGAGCAAAGAATATCCTTTTCGATAAATTCCTCTTCTGGCTCTACAATTATATATATGTTTAAATACACAGAATATTCTAGATTAGTAGTCAATAACAATATTGCTACTTTTTAAATAATATCGATTTGTAAAGTAAGATCAACTGCGTCGGTGGCACAGTGGTTAGGACTCTCGCCGACCATACACATGGTCTGGGGTTCGATCCCCTACCAACGCACACCCGATATCTATGGTCGGCCTGTGAAATTTGGGCTACCGATATCTATGCTGAAAATACCATACTTGTACTGGAAATACGGTGTGGTATCAAGCTGTAATCAAAAATAAATAAAAATAAATAATTAGGAAAATTCCACAAAAATTCAGGATCATTCAAACTTGGATGGCCAAGGTAAGGATAAGGTCTGAAATAACTAGCTAACGAATCTCAATTTCGCCTTACGAGTTCGACTACTAAATATTGCTGAAGCTGTTGGGATCCATATTAACAAGCCTAATTTGTACATCCAAAAGAAGTTAGTTCAGACACTATCCTTACCTTGGCCATCTAGGCTTGAATGATCCTCAATTTTGTGGAATTTTCCTAATTTTAGTTGATATTCTATTTTATGGAGGATTTCATCATGAGCTGATATCAGTTAGAGAACCACCGGAAAACCTGAGAGTACTGGACAGCTGTTTCGTCCTAGTTTGGGACTCTTCATTAGTACGCATCCACCGGGATTCCAACCTAGGACCCTCTGGTTACAAGGCCAGCGAGCTCGTAGACTATTGAGTCACTGGGACCCGATCCAATGGTCCTTGAATTCTAACTTCTGCCAATTCACGACATAGCGCGATCATTTCGCAATGTCTTCTTAGATGAGTCACTGCCTCACCTTCAACCTGCTGTACCCTACTGGTCACGGCTTCCCGCTAGAACCCCAGGTTAACTGCCTGAATAGGGCCAGTCACTAGTGAGCATAAGATTAATTTTCAAGTATTGGTTTGGTATATAATTGTAGAGCCAGAAGAGGAATTTATCGAAAAGAGGTTATTCTTTGCTCAATTATTTTGTGTTTTTTATAGATGTCAAAATGAATACACTTTCAATAATGATTGAGTACTCTTCACATTTTCATCGATAGTAATACTAACCTTTTTAAATCTTTTAAATATGCAAAAATATCTTGTTAATTCTTTTCAAAAACAATGTGATGATGTACTACTCTATACCCCATTCTATCGATATTGTCTTGTTTTAAACGAAAAATAATTTACACACTTTTCTCTGCAGCGTATTTATTTGTGAGATCCTACAGCCTAGAATGCAAATATTAAGCCCCGCGCGCATACAATATACCGTAAGAGGAATGAATATTCATAATAGTAGTAACAACAATAATAAACTGTATAAGACTTTTACAACCGATGATTATTGTGTTTTGCCTTTCACATCATATGAGCTTAGAATGCAAGAATGTTTTTAAAAAAAAGTGGCTATAAATAATAATGATTAGTGCTCACTCTCTCATGTGAATCTTTCTATGACAGCATAAAAACAACTACTACTGAGTTAGAGAAATAAACATGCAAACAACTACAAATACTATCACAACAACATGAATGGTATACTTAAAAGTTTGATTGAAGAAAGAGTCACAGGATAGATACTCACACATACACACACACACACACAAACACACAACACATGAAATCATTCCCCTCACGATATAACAGTACAACAAAAAGTAAAGATAATTTTACAAAAGTAATAATTCATGAATTAATTGTTTTTTTTAAGAAATGATAGAGAAAAATAATGTTATCAGGTGTGTGTGTATATTATATAATGCAGCAAAAAAATAAACAGTATTATTTGATTTGTGTTCATAAAGCTTTGAGATCCAATAGTGGTTGTTTTATCAACAAGCTTGACAACATTCTGAGCATTAATAGTAACAAGAGAGGGAGGAAAGAAACGATTGCACAGTTAACCATTTGTTAGTGTATATATTTTAAAAATTTGACAGGAAATTGCACACCAGAGGTATAAAGCATCTACCTAACTTTGATGATGTAATCAAGAAGTGAGAACAATTTACAGTCTAGTGGATGACGATTTGCAGTGGAATTCAAGATGCACATTTCTTCCCATTTTGGACTCGTCATCCGGATGTACTTGCATTCCCTAGTGAGTGTTGGTGTTCCCAACGGGACTCCACCCAAGCAGCAGCCCTAGTAGATAATGCTTTGTCGTTTGAAACGATAAGCATTGGGTTCGAGTCTCAGTGAAGACACCACCATTCATTAGGGAATGCACGTGTATCTAGGTGACCAGTCATAAATGGGATCAAACGCTATCAGCCCCAACGGGTTGATCTCTGACGAAATCTCACCACGGATACAGAGGACTAGTTTCGCATATGCTAGTTTGCGCCGTCTCTGTCGTAGACGTGATATCCAGCTATCAACCAAAAGGCGTGTGTACTGCTCATCAGTCCGCTCCGTCCTCCTTTATGGATGTGAGACCTGGCCATTGAGAGTGGAAGACATGAAAAGATTAGCTGTCTTTGATCATAGGTGTGCCTGCGTTCCATCTCCCTTGTGAAGTGGTATAGTAGAGTGAGCAATATTGAGGTTAGGCGTCGGTCGAGTGCTAGGTAAGGAGGGGAAATCAATCGACAAGGCTGTGAGTTTACATCGACTGAGATGGTTAGGACATGTGTTGCGTATGCCTAGTCATCGCCTTCCTCGACGGGCAATGTAAGCTGACATAGAGTAAGGCTGGAAAAGATGGCACCAGTCAATCAATTTCACAATAGTTAGGTTAATCCAGCCACGCAAGAAGGTGTCGACTCCCTGGTTGGGGTCCTCGGGACGGTAAAAACCAATGGTTGGAAACAATTGGTGACATGGCTGAAAACCGTTCTCAATGGCTAGCGCAGATGTATCCACTCCTTGTGACTTATGATTTCCAATGAAACTATATTGTTCTTCGTTATTACTATTCCTTTGTCTCACACCTCTGTTTACTGTCTCTAATATGCATTTCTTCTTTCTTCTCTTGCTTTGTGTGCTACAAAGAGGGAGTGTGGCGACTTTAACTGCCGCACATATGTGCAAAGTTCTATGTCGAAAAGAGACAAACAGACATGAAACGCTCATCTTGGATTCCACTGCCTAGTCACTAGTCATCAAATTACTTCAAGTTAATCCGCAGACATCGTCGAGGCCTTCATACTAGGAGACGACGTATCAACAGAGGTCAAACATTTCTATCCAATCAATTAACGGGAAAATAACATAAATATACACAGAATAGATGTCATTTATTGTTATGTATATATTATTTTTACATTACGACATTAGAGTTAGTAAGACAACAAAAGTACTGATGACGAAGAGCATTCGTAGACAGACATAAACAGATCCAGGCGTACACACACACACAGACAGACAGAAAGACAACACATTCGTTCGGCTAACAATAAACAACAACAACACTGTCGCATACACTAACAATTGGTTTGTTTGTTTGTTTGTTTCAGAATCATGAGCTATTAGAATTGTGCCAAAACAAAACGTGTATAATCTGATAACAAATGGATAAGAGAAGAAAAAAAAGAAGATAACATCATTAACAATGACCACAGTAACTGACCAAGGGAGGGAGGGAGGAGTTAACTCTGTTACTTGATAGTAAAAAGCAGCATATACAAAAAAAACTATTAGTGTTATATAATTCGATGAAACGTGACTTGTTAATATGACATAATTAAAGAGAATATATAATCACAGGACACCATGAGTTAAGTAGTACAAGAACTAACATTTTTAAATTAGAATAAAGGAAGTTATGACCATTTAATGAAAGCAGAAAAAAGTAATCACACTTTGAAGCAAGTCGAATTCTACGACTCCAGATGTTTTTGATAGGCCAATTGCCAAATGTTCAATCTGGGTTAATTACAGCGGCCTTTTTGATCTTGCATGCTACGAACATGTATGACTGACAACCAATAGAATAAAATGATTTTGGTTCGTTAGTCTTTTATTCACCATCATTTGTACTGTGGCCACTTTATTTCGGACCTTCTAAACTACCATGTGACTTAGAATATACATTAGAAGCGCTAACTGACTAACACATTATGGTCATTTTTTTCCTACATCATCTGATATCTTGATTGGACACTAGTAAGTAGAGTGACATATCTAGTCCTTCGTTTGGTGCAGACTGAATTCTGTCAGTCAGGTTTGCAATGTGGCCACCATTCTAGGTAGCTCACCATCATGGTGCACATTGATTTAATGATATTAGATAGTTCGAGGCAATCGGTAGGAAGCCCTGCTTCACCTAGGTTTCGTGCTAGTTGGCACTCATCAGCAAGGCGTATCTGCAAACTTGAAGGAACTCATGTCCCTTCTAAGATTCGAACCCGCGTCATCCAGTGCTGCAGTCAGAGACGTTAACACTGAGGAGCTGTTAGGGCTCGCGATTGACCTCCTGACTGATAGAATTCAGTCTGCACCAAAGAAAGGACTAGACACGTCACACTAGTTACTAGTGTTCAAACAAAATACCCACTACAGTCCTACAGGTCAGTCGCGAACCTGAATAGCTCAGTGGTAACGTCTCTGACTACAGCACTCACTGAGTGACGCGGGTTCGAATCTCAGAAGGGACATCAGTTCCTTCAAGGTTGCCGATACGCCTTGCTGATGAGTACCAACTAGCACGAAACCTAGGTCGACCAAGGTTTCCTGCCGATTGCCTCCAACTATCTAATATCAGCTGACATCATGCAAGCCTTCCTAAGGAACATAACTACAGAGCCAACAGATAGTGCAGACGTTTTTTCCATTCATTTGTGTTCCAAGTGAAAAATACGCCTTTAACTTTCAGTAGCGGTGGTGGTATTGCTTTATTAAGGGGTGGAGTTGCTAACCTCACTCCCAACCTTCCCTCCTTATTGGACTTACTATCAGCTGAGTGAGGTTTAACAGTGAGTCAGTTGGGAATCAAACCCCGGACCACGTGCATATGGTTGGTGAGGATTTTACGATTAAACCACTGGCGCCTATCTACCACACCACAGTACAAACATTGCTTAACTGTATCAAGGCGGCCGAATGTAAGACACAGGTAGAAGAATAATCAAAGCCGAAATACGTAACAACCATTAAGTAAGACAAATATGCATCAAAATCAGCTCTGGAGATTACCATAGGCATCAGACTACAGAAATTGTGCACACACTGTTGAATACTTAGAAGCACAGTTTTCCGATAAGATTACAAGTTAATTTTCTATAGTTTGGTTTGTAAGGGTTAGTTGTGTTTTTACGAGTTGATCACGGACTGATATCGCTTAGAGAACCATTGACAACCAGGGAGTACTGGACAGCTGTTTCATCTTAGTTTGAGAATCATCGGCAGTACGCCCCTACTGGGATTCAAACCCAAGACTTTCCGGTTACAAAGCAAGCTCGTATACCATTCAACCACTGGGACCCGATTCAATGGTTCATGAATTCTAACTTCTACCAATTCGTGATTTAGCGCGACCCCAACCGGAAGGTCCTGGGTACGTACTGGCGATGATTCCCAAACTAGGATGAAACAGCTGTCCAGTACTCCCTGGTTTTCAATGGTTCTCTAACTGATACCAATCCGTGATCAACTCGTACAAGTTAATTACCTGCCATTGAGTCGGGAAACAAAAAACCATACTACGCTCAAATTAAATCGATTTAGGTAACCATGACATACACTAAGTGTTGGGGCAAAACTGTCAACTTACCTTATCGCTACAGTGCTGCAAGACATCTGTCAGTCTAGATACAACCATATCAACACATTTTAGTGACGGGATCCGAAGTCTTTCAATCTGTTTCTTCACTGTAGCATCGAATGCCATATCAGGGGTGAATAATCCAGGCCTGAATTAAACACAGAACAAAACAGTGAAATACAATTAATGGTATAATACAATAGTGATATGGCAGTAGTAATAATTACTAGCATTAATATTATTCGTAGTACTGTCACTATTATTATTGTTATTATTATTATTAGTGGTAGTAGTAGTAGTAGTATTGTTTTGAATGCCAAAAACTAAAATGCTATTGAAAATTTTACATAAACCTCGAATATAATATGATTACAAAATGTCAGTTAAATACTGTTACAAAAATTAAAACCGTTTATTACACTTACTAACAATACATTTATTTACACAGCAAATATAAAGTAGGTAATAAGTCTGGTCTGTTATTTTGGTGACAATTTAAGGTATGCACAATGTCTAGTACTACTGTCGAAAATAACAGCGATGGTTAGTCTCGTGTATCCACTATCTAAAAATCAGCTCTGGAGGTATCGCTGACACCATTATTATTATTATTGTTTCCTTTATTTCCTAGAGGAATATAGGGCTTCAGCCGTGCGTCTCCATTGCATTCGGTTCTCTGCTAGTCTTCACATGGCTCCAAGTCTGCCCACACGTTTCAATCTCCTCTTCACATGATCTCCTCCAAGTCACCCATGCACTGACGACCAACTGGCCGCTTCCCTTTCGGGTTCCGCTCGAGTAATGGCCTGTCTAGTGATGTCACTTGATGCATTGTTTCCTCAGAGTATGGCCAATCCATCTCCATTTCTTCCTGCCTATTTGTTTCACAATCGGTTCCTGCTGAGTTGGTTCGCTCATTGCCAGAGATCTCTGTTGCTGATCTTTTCTGGCCAGGCATCTGATCTTGAGTATTGAGTGAAGACAACTGTTAATGAAGGTCTGTAGTTTGTCTGAGATGCTCTTTATGACGCGCAGTGCAAGTCCCTGATCCGTATAGTAAGTGGCACTGACTTCACATTGGAGTTGAAAATCCGGATCTTATTTTTGATGCTGGTTGCTGTTGACCTCCACACAGACTTGAGAGTAGTGAAAGCTTGGCTCGCTTTTCCGATTCTTGCTTTGATATCCTCGTCAGTTCCGTCGGCCTGTAGTTGAAACGATGCTTCCCAGGTAGGTAAAAGAGGTTGTTTCTTTCAGATTTCTCCCGTTTATACTGGCTGACTGTTGTTGTTCTTGTCCAGGAATCTTCATCACTTCTGTTTTCTCTATGTTCACCTGAAGTCCTATCTTCTTCGGATACGTCTTCTCCCAACTTGTTGCTTTTCGCTTGCATATCTTCCAGTTTGTGGGAAATCATATATATATCATCGGCGAAGTCTAGATCCTCCAAGTTTTTTGGCTGACACCATAGTGACTCAATAAAATATTTTATAGCTTCAAATGCATGCTATATCTGAAGTGTATCAAAAGTAAATGTATACAACGGCTTCCACTGAGGTGGGGATCAAGTAGAAACACAAGTACAAACACTAAAGATTCAGTGACCGAACAAACCTCTGCATGCAAGGTTCAGGACTTTACATGTGGATTGTCAATCCTTCAGTAGTTTGAAGAAGTTTGATTTGCACTCCTTTGGCAAGATTTCTGTGTGCTCTGTAGATGGCTATGAAGTTGGTTGGCGACTCCCCTTAGTGTCCAGAATCAACCAGGTGTTCCAGAATAGAACTGCGGGGGATGTTTCTTCTTTGTAAAACCATAAAAGCAAATATTCGATGGTACAGTTGGATAGCAAACAATGATTAAGATCAACATACCTAGCTCCAAATGAGCAGGTGGATTGACAGACATACATTGATGATGCAAACAGTGATAGCTCATCCTTTCCGTTTATACGAACCATTGGTTGTTTCTTTTGGTTTTTAGTTTTTTGAAGACAAACTGTGTACGGTCTTAGTGGTGTAGGCTTCATAGATTTTGTGATGAAGTGTTTGGGGTAGCCATTTTCAATGACAATCCTCTTTAGAATATTCAGCTTCTCTTCCATGATGTAATGGCTGCAAATGTTGCAGATTTTTTAGCTCAATCAGCGGATCACGTTTCGCTTAGTATACAGAGGTACCTAACTGTGTAAGTTTGTGATTTGTCCGTTCTATGTTAGCTTCCTGTGGATGGACGTTTTTGATGTTCCATTTCCACTTTTTGTGAGTTAAACATTCAGGAAGGCTATTTGTTACCCGATTAAATACGTAACTGTCACCTAGAACTTAAAATTCTAATGACGCATCTTTGGAAATATTCCTTTTTTGCTGTAAATTTTACTGTATATACGCGATTGTACGGTTTGAAGATGACATAGGTGAAAAGAGTAGGAAACAAAGTTTTTCATAGATGTATTCCAAGGTTAGGCACCTTTATTTTATGTCTTTTGATGAAAGTAAGGATATGAATGGAGGTTTGAAATGTACGTACAATGTAAGAGACTGGAAAGGTTGCCCAGGTAGCCAAAGAAATGAGGGGATATGGTGTAGAAGTCTTCGGAATCTCCGAAAACAGATGCAATGGATGTGGACTATCAGAATTGTCAACTGGAGAGTCAGTAATCTACTCCGGTCACCCAGAAGACAACTACGAGTACACTGAAGCAGTAGTTATCATGATGTCACCAATAGCAGCTGAAGCTCTAATCCAGCTGGAACCAATCTCCTGTGGGATTATGATAGCAAGATTCAACTCAAAAGGAAGGAAGAAAGGTTATAATTATCGAAAGCTATGCACCTACCAACAACGGGGAACAAAAGAAGAAGGGGGATTTTTACAAACAACATCCCGAATGGTGACATCAAAATCCTTATGGGCGATATACGTGCCAAATTAGGAGCAGATAATACGGGAAGAGAATTCATTATGGGTCAAGGGGCTGACGCTCAGAGAAATGAATGAGAGCGAACTATTTGCAGACTTCTGCGCTTTCAATGATTTGGTAATCGAAGGCAGCGTGTATAAGCTCAAAGATATACACAAACCAGCATAGATTTCATCTCAATACTGCTCAAGGAAGTGGAGACGCAGCCAGTCTGCTGGACAAAAAGTCGAGAGGGGGAGCGGATGTGGGCTCAAACCATCATCTAGTTTAAAAAACTATTTTTTATTTTATTTTATTTTTTTTAATTTTGATTACAGCTTGATTCCACACGGTATTTTCAGTACAAGTATGGAATTTTCAGCATAGATATCGGTAGCCCAAATTTCACAGGCCGACCATAGATATCGGGTGTGCGCCGGCAGGGGATCGAACCCCGGACCATGTGCATGGTCGGCGAGAGTCCTAACCACTGTGCCACCGACGCTGAAATCCTTCGGAAAAACTGGACATAGACCACAATTCAAGTCCAACATTCAGAATCTGAAAGACAAAACCACAAAGGATACCTCCACTACAGATCAGAGCAAAGTCAGAGACACTGAGTAGTATCGTATCACCGAGGACACCTGCGTGGAAGTACATTGGAACTCTCTGAAAGGGATGTTCAAGGAATAATGTAAAACAATTTTAGGAAGAAAGAGAAGTTCAGATAAAAAATGGCTCTTAATGGAGACCTGGAAGCTAATAGAAGAGAGGATGGTGAAATAGAAGATGGACCAATTCAAAGATAGACAGCACGAGAAGATGAGTTCATCTCACCGAATAAAGAAATGAAGAAGAGTGATAGAAGAGACAAAAAACAATTCTACGAAAAACTGTCAACTGAAGCAGAACAGTCAGGCCGCAGGTAATAGAGACCTTAGGATACAATATCAGATAACCAGGTCTCTATCCAGGAAGAGATCAACCCAGATGATGAAATCAATAAAAGATGCTTAAGGGAACCTGATTACCAAGGAGGAGAAACAAATCGAACAATGGGCTGATCACTTTAAAGGACTCTTGAATCAAACCATCAAATGCAACTCACCCAGAAATACCACCACCACCATCCATGCCTACCAGTGGACACCAATCCTCCAACGAAAGCAGAAATCCTGAATGCGATCAAGATACTGAACACCGGCCGGGAAGGCAGCAGGACCAGACAGAATTCCCCCCCCCCCCGGAACAACTATAAACGGACCCAGAGACTGCGGCAGATGTGTTCACGCCATTATTGCAAAAAGTTTGGAAGGAAGGAAAGATGCCTTCTGATTAGAAGAAAGGTTACCCTGTCAAGCTGCCAAAAAAGGGCGGCTAACACCTCAGCATGGACTGGCGTCGAATAATGCTCTTGTCCACGCCAAGTAAAACACTAAGTTGCGTCATCCTGGAGAGAATAGAGGATGCACTGGATACAGAACTGCACCCACCGGAACAAGGTGGATTCAGGAAAGGATAATCATGTGCTGATCAAATTGCAACTCTACGCATCTTCATCATCAGTCAGAGCACAGAATGGCAGTTAAACCTCTACCTAAGCATCAATGACTTCGAAAAGACTTTCGAGAGCGTCAACCGAGAAGTAATTTATAAACTATTTCAACACTGTGGCGTGCAGTACCAAAATCTTTTTTTTTGATTGAACACTAGTCAGTAACTAGTGTAATGTGTCTAGTCCTATCTTCGGTGCAGACTGAATTCTATCAGTCATGTTTGCAATGTGGCCACCATGCTAGGTGGCTCGCCATTACGGTGCACTGTGAATTGTTGGTATTAGATGGTTGGAGGCAATCGGCAGGAAGCCTTGCTCGACCTAGGTTTCGTGCTAGTTGGCACTCATCAGCAAGGCGTATCTGCAACCTTGAAGAAACTGATGTCCCTTCTGAGATTCGAACCCGCGTCACCCAGTGCTGCAGTCAGAGACGTTACCACTGAGCTATTCAGGCTCGCGACTGACCTCCTGTAGGACTGTGTTGGATAGACATCAGTTCCTTCAAGGTTGCAGATACGCCTTGCTGATGAGTGCCAACTAGCACGAAACCTAGGTCGAGCAAGGCTTCCTGCCGATTGCCTCCAACCATCTAATACCAACAATTCACAGTGCACCGTAATGGCGAGCCACCTAGCATGGTGGCCACATTGCAAACATGACTGATAGAATTCAGTCTGCACCGAAGATAGGACTAGACACATTACACTAGTTACTGACTAGTGTTCAATCAAAAAAAAAATATCCAACACAGTCCTACAGGAGGTCAGTCGCGAGCCTGAATAGCTCAGTGGTAACGTCTCTGACTGCAGCACTGGGTGACGCGGGTTCGAATCTCAGAAGGGACATCAGTTTCTTCAAGGTTGCAGATACGCCTTGCTGATGAGTGCCAACTAGCACGAAACCTAGGTCGAGCAAGGCTTCCTGCCGATTGCCTCCAACCATCTAATACCAACAGTACCAAGATCTTTATTAACTTCATTCAACAGGTATATGGAAATGTCACATGTCAGTGAAGCCTTTGAGGTGAATACAGGAGTAAGAGAAGGCTGTCTATTATCGCCGATGATATTTTCAATTGTAACGGACTGGATTATGCATCAGACTGTACACAGGGAGTGAGAAGAAAGGAAAACGCTGGAGCGATCAGAAGACTCTAGAACATCTGGATTTCGCAGATGATTTACGTTTAATGTAAGGCAAACTCGAAGACTTGCAGATGAAAACCAACAAACCGGCTGAAGAGGCTGGCAGCGAAGGCAGGATTCCAGGTGAACATAGAGAAGGTAGAGACGGAGGTGATGAAGATAACTAACCGATAGCAGCAACAAACGCCAATCACCGTCAACGGGAGAGATTTGACAGAAGTTACTTTCTTCACTCATCCAGGAAGCATAGTTTCAACTAAAAACGGAACGGATCAAGATGTCAAAGCCAGTCAGAATCGGAAAGGCAAGATACATCTTCATCAACCTGAAATCAGTTTGGAAATCTTCTGCACTCAGCCAATCTAAAGAACAATATTCGGATCTTTAACACAAATATGAAGTCACTTCTATGCAGACAAGTCAGAAACTTGGAGTGTCAAGAAGAGCATTTCCAACAGGTTGCAGACTTTTATCAACAACTGCCCACTTCACTGGCTGCATACTGAAAATAAAATACCTGCCAGAAAGAATTAACAACAAGAAACTCTCGCTGGGAACAAGCCAACCAAGAGCCGACTGCTCAACAAATATGTAGTAGAAGATGGAGATGGATCAGGCACACATTGAGGGGGCCGTCGAATGAAATCGCGCGCAATGCAGGTCATTGCTCAAGTGGAATGCCAATGGAAAGCGACGAGTGGGTTGTCCGAGAGTGAAATGGGGGAGATCGTGCGAGTTGGGACAGCTAAAGAGGACAGAAGAGAATAGAATAAAGTGGAGATGTGTCGTTCAAGCCCCATGTTCCACTCGGAACCCAAGAGAACTATAATAACAATCTTATGGTAAATTTCGAATTTTGTGGTGCTGATATAAGACACCATGAACAACAAACTTAGATAAATTCTGATTAAAATTGACAAAAACTAAAACAGTAGCAAACGTTGGGAAGCAATTATGCTAAGCAATATCTTTTACCACTTAGTCGGTAATCCACACAAGCTGCATACTTTTAGATGATTGAGTGATATCAGCATGAAGCCTAAAATATAAATTTTACGCTTCTCAGTAGTTATCAGCAAGGCGGTTTTGAAATACAAAAGGCGTTAGAGAGACAATACGGTTCGAATGACTTGCTACTTACTCATCATCTATATGTAAACGGTACTGAAGATGCCTAATTACAACCTGACAGGTTGTCAATGTTGGTGAACATTGATTGAGCAACACACATGGTTCGTTTATTCGAACGGATCTCTATTTTGACGGGAGGTAACAATGGCGGCCGTGGCCCAATCGTACGCTGTTTGGCAAAAGACTGGAGAAAAACGATCAGAAACTTTATTCTGCAGAAACCCTGTAGTCCTGCCTCATTGCCGGTGAAGAAATAAACAATCCTGGAACCGCCAATCTGTTCTCGGACATTTTTAATCGGTTACTGCACATAGTACCCTGAGACAGTAATCAGTTTTCTGACAGCAGCAATAGGTTCAGGATCTTTTTCAATCTGGACAATTGACAGAGGTTAACTTTTAAAATATATTCAACAAACTTCGGTCTGGGGTGATCAGCAGCTACAATGACTACCACAAAACAAGTTCAAACAAATCTAAGTAAAAAAAAGTCATATGTGAAATGTTGTAACTCAACAACCACTTGCAATCCCCCATGCAACTGGCAATGAGCCGCCGCACCTATTGTGTAACGGCTGGTTATACTATCCAGGATACTGCGCAAGCCTCAGTGAGTGGAGCGGGGTCTCGAAACCATGGACCACTTGATGGAAGTGTCAACCGCCTGGACTAAGGAGATACACAGTCGCACAGAGTCTTATGTGATTGACGATAAACAATTATGTTCATCTTTACGTTCAAAACTATAAGACAAATGTCAGTGAAACTATTTCCATTGTATTCTGTACATATTTTGTTATCTGACAGATCATATTTATAAATATCATCCGTTTGTCCAAAATCATAACCCTACAAATTGATTTCTACACCATCTTAACTATTCACTAGACAACAAATCAATCCAGTTTCGTAAAAGAAAGATGCTTCTTTATTGGTGAATAAGCGTCAAAAAAAAAATTAAAACGATATCAGTATATAACCTATGGATAGTGTAAGTCTGAAGAAAATACTTAACAAAATGTAACCTACCTAACACCATGAATATTTTGGATAGCGACAGCAATTTCTCTTCTCAAGGTTTTCTCATCGAACTCAATCTTGAAGAAATGAAGAGGAAAAATGTATCTCATATATTTAAGTAGTATATAAGTAGTACAGTGCAGCAAAAGTAAGCCAAAAAAAATAAAGCTTCGCACATAGAAGAAATATTTCACTGGAATGCAGTTAGAAACAGACTACGCGCCACCATGCACAGTCAAATGTTGTTTTTTTTAATTTTCAAAGGAGAGTTAATCGGGGAATTGCAGTTTGTAACTGAATGGAAATGTTTTTAATAGATTGTGCCCTGAGCTTGTGTCTAAACTGTGCAAGAAGTGATAAGCTTTTTGTCAGGAATTTGTCAAATAAATGAAATTAAGGAGTGAAGATTAGTCTCTATTGTTTATACCTCAGTTTATTAGCTTTCTCTACTGCAATGTCATAGACTTAGAAATATTCGTGCCGCTTAAATTCAGCTTATAAATTAACTAATGTTAAGAAAACATAGAACAATATTTAACTATTCAGCTAAATCAGTTCAGTTCAGTTCATTACAACTTTTATTACTTATATGTGCAAGATATATCAGTGCTGTGCGTATACGTTACTCTTTGATCCACTAGCATGAAAACCGCTTCTACACAGGGAGCAGAAACGACAGTACCACGAGACAAGTTCTTAACACCGCAAGCATGCCGGGTTAATAACTCTTTTTGACGAGTAATATTGGTATAAATAGAATTACATTGAAGAAGAGCTAAGGGTGGTACGAATGAACCATAGCATTAGTCAATGAGGCCAAACCCGACCTGCTGTACTCCACTGGTCACGAAAAATACTCCCTGATGACATTCACTACGAGGTCGCGCCATACCGTGAATTGGCAGAAGTTGGAATTCATAGACCACTGGATTGGGTCCCATTGGCTTAATGGTCTACGAACTAGCTCGCCTTTTAACCGGAAGGTCCTGGGTTCGAGCCCCAATGGGTGCGTACTGATAAAGAGTCCAAAACTAGGTCGAAACAACTGTTTAGTACTCCCAGGTTTCCTAATGGTTCTCTAACCGATGTCAATTCACGATGAAATCCTGAAACCAATCAAATCCCTGCAAATCGACACTTGAATAGCCGGTTTTGTATGATAAGATCTTGTAAAAATGACTGAAAATAGGCATATTAGACACATGAACTAACTACACATCACTTATTAAAAACATAATTCATTTTACTCAATAATGAAAGCAGTCACACACTGCATTACCTTAAGTAAATCATAACGGAACCGTTCATGGAACACCCGATTAATTTCAGCACCACCAGACAATGTTTGAGTGTCCACTTCAGAGACATGTCCATCAATATTTTGAGAAAATTCTGCTTCAAATGACTGTACCATCCTATAGATCAAATTATAAAGAAATGAGAAATGATTATTTACGCTTGAATAGTTAAAGGGTTGATGTATCATATAATTCATACAGTTTATCACATTTTATTGATTTACGGATTAACTACAATGGAATGAATCTACATAATAACCCCGTCTAAATGATACATATATATATATATATCCAAGACCCAACAAAAATAAAGTCGGGTTCAAACCTGTGGATTATCTACAAAAATTTCAGTAGTTAAATTAGCAGATGTCTGTCTGTCTGGATTCAACATAGAACTTGGCACCGAAGTGCAGCAGTTCGAGTTGCCACGTTCCAAATAGCACACAAAGGTAGACAAGAAGATCAGTGAAGAGAATCAAAAGAGTTTTAACAAGTATAAGAGTGAAACTGAGTGAGTAATGGTAGAAAGGAATATGAAAGATTACGGAGACTGAATACATCTGCACCATTGACAACGATTCTGAGCCATGTCACCTATTGTCTCCAGCCATTGATGATAAGCAGATGAACCAGGATCAGTACTCTTCTATCATAAAAGTTCCCGTTGAGTTTGTATATAAAGACAATATGCATACACCTATTAAGAGAAAAACGAGATAATTTGTATCTGTTCACTCTAGAGAACTTAGTAGATGCACTCATGAATTTAGTAGGTGCCACAGTTGCGCCTTAACTAACTCGGTAACAGTATTTTTCTCGATTAAAAATTTGATTTGTATTACATCTTTGAAAGACAATGGAGAAGTGACTCATTATTAGGAGTTCTAACCTAACAAACTAACAGCACAGTCAGCGCTTTTGTACGATTTTACTCACACGTTTATTGATGCTGGCAACAGGTACATGAAATGGCATAAAGTCATAATCTCTGTACTTTACTGGTTAACCAACAAAAATGAAAGGGCAACGAAATGTAAGTCCTATGTCACTTATTTTTAAATTTACAAAGGTAAAACTTTGGTAACCACAAGTAGACTTATACACTACACTATCGCTTACGCCTTCGGTTGGAATCAATGGCTGCAATAAAACGCAAACAGATGAGCGGGCTTCTAACAAATGGTGGAGTATTCACCATCTGAGATATCAAGTAAATTAATCAAAATTATGAATCAGAGTTCAGAAGATCTTCAACCATAGTAGTTGAACCACATGACACATTTCAAAGTTATGTAAAATAGATGAAGCGAAATGGTACAGTTAGCATTCCTCATGTTGAGATGTTTTACAACAGAGACCTGTTTCTCGATAATAATTTACACATCGTTTTGTTACAAACTAAAATAAATGTTCAGAAATTGAAGTCGTAAAGCGAATCCTGTTTGACATTATAAGGATAGCAAAAGAAAAACTCAGAACTGTCAAAGTAGTTTTAAGAAAGTAGTCAATCCTAGGGGTCTTTACAAATGCATGCGACGTGATAAAATTAGTAAGAGGAAATTTCATATGATGACAGCATAGACGCATACACCTTTTGATAAAATAAATCTTGAATAGTTCATTACTTCACACCTACTCACTTTATGTTTATGTACGCCTAAAGTTTTGGCTTGAGTCATATAGGGCAATGTAACGTGTCTAGTTGAGGTCCTCGGGATGCTACGAAACTATGGTTGGAAACTATTAGTAACATGGCTCAAAACTGTCCCGAGTGGCACAGACGAATGTTTTTTAATTATTCTTTTACGTTTCCAGTGGAACATAGGATTTCAAGTCAGAGCTTTGAAGTTTCGATAGCAGTAGTGTTTATTTTTACGGGATGGGGTTGCTAGCCTCAAGCCCAACCTTCCCTCTTTATGAGTCTTATTACTGGCTCAGCTAGGTAGAGGAGTGCGTCGGCCGGGGATCGAACCCTGGACCACATGCGTGGTCGGTGAGCATTCTACCGCCGCGCCACCGACGCATACAGATGTATTTAGTCTTTGTTATCATCTATATTCCGAAGATCCCTACTAATTCTCACCTGATCACTCTTTCTCCTATACATTTTAATCCATTTTAGTTTCATAAAATTTCTTTCCCTACTTTAATGTGTTTACTCAAAATGTACTAAATTGAACTGAAAAGTTTTACGTTGATAAGTTAGTTATGTGTTAGGTTTAGTTAATTTTCATATTCTGTACTCTTCAGTGATTTTTTTTTCTCCGTTTGCCATCGCACTTTGGTCATTTAAACTGAAAAAATGCCTTGTGAAGAATAGGTGATTTTTAGTTAAACATTCTGCTCAAATACTTATTACAATATTGTAGATGACCACTTGATTTATACACATCTATTGTTGAAAAACCCACTAATCTAAGTATATTGAATTACTACAAACTAAATGAGAGTTCAAAATCATATTTTAGTATCAGAAGAGTCAATATCTGATGTAGTACATATCAGAAATCATCCATGGCATTAAAGCATAAATGATAAGAACAAATCAGTTTAGAGTATAATTTCCGACAATTCATGAAAACTTTATCTTAAAAAATATCACTTTACCAATAAGGTCGAACTTTCAATATGGGAGAAGATAAACACTAGGTTGAGAGTAATATTTTTTGACAGACGATTAGTATCTTAACAATGTTAGATATTAAGATTGTACAAGCAATTTTCTGTGAGTACATTTTGATATAGGATTTAATTTCGAAAATGAGGTGTTCTTTGAGCATCGGATTTAAATAGGTTAGCTTTATAATACCACATACATCACCAATAGATGTACTTGGTGTAGAATGAAGACTATTTTAATTGAAAAGCCTAATTCGATTGTCACTTTTATCCAGCAAGATAATCCAACAGATTGGTTAAACTACTGTGTATGTGACGCGCTTTCATTCATAATTAGCGAGGGAACGGTATGATCTCAACATCATTCTCACAGCGAAAAGTCAGTTGGCTTTTGAATATACTTACTTTTATTCGGCCCAATCAACCTTAATTCAAACGAAATAGTTGGTTACATAAATCTGTGTAAAAGTAAGCTTTAGTAGGGGGTAATAGAAAAGTGGGAATGACAAGTTAGACTCTGAAATATCTACCAGTTAAAACTTCTGTAATTAAAGCTGTCAGCTTTTTCAATCATAAACTTAAAATTCTATGACACTGGCTCTCTCTATATATTTTTTTATTAGTATAATATAGTTGGGCTTCGTACTTTCAGTCCATGATTGCCCATTTTAAAGTTTTATGAAGGAAAAATAAGTAACTTAATAATTATTGTAAATTCCCACGTTTTTATATAAACTATAAACATACTTATCACTATACATTGGACATTTTAAAATGGCTATTCCTTAAACTATCAGTTTACACCTGTGATAAACGCGATAATTATCACTTTCTGCAGAGGCAGTCTACATTGTGACTTGGTGTACTTAAGTGTGTGTAATCTTACCCTTAATAGTGCCTTTTCAGAGTTCAAGATTCTGTTGAATACTTTGCAGTTTTATATTTGATTACCTTTTCCGTCATGCTTCAAAATATCTTACTTGGATCAATCACGAATGATAAATAGATGAAACAAATACGTAATCATTGGAATCGTTACTGTTCTGATTTCTAAATATATTTTTTAATTCTCACACAAAATTGATCTAGAAATACTACCGGAGATGTAAATGAATAAAGGCGGCTAGTTTATATAATGGTAACCACCCATTAAGAATTGGTCATAACTGTAGTTCTGCTGTTTAATAAGAGCTTCAAAAGGAAACCCCTAAACAACTCCAAAACAACAGGCCTGATTTCACACATTTCTAGGACTGTATATAAAAGTTCAAAGCAAGTAAACACAGTTTAGTTGAAATTTTGCGACCCACATCACTTCTGTAACAATTGGATACTCATTAGAACGTTAGCCAAAGTAAGGCAAAGTTCTTAGTGTCTGAATTCGTTCATTTTTATACCACTAATAATCGCTGTAGAATTACTAATCAAAGATAGTGACAGTATTAGAAAGATAATTAGCTCAACACAATCAACGAACAAATCAATAGTTGAATAAGCCTGACAGTAATGAAATACGAATTATCCCCCTTCGAGTAAAGGGAATTATTTAAAATGCAACTACTCAGGGAACACAGAATTACGTAAATTCATTTTACAAGTGATCATGAAAATAAACAGATTTTAATGCACTTTTAGATACGTGTAACTAAGAAAATAATCCGACCTATAAGCAGATACACAAACCTGAACAAACACTAGGCTTTCAGTCTATATTCGAAAGAAACTTACTGTAGTAATGCTTTCGTTTTGTAGGCTGGGTCATCCGGACGATAATTACGGAAATCTGACACCTCCTTCTCCAAACTAATTAACTGAGCCTGTAAACGATTACGTAGATTGGGAAGAGTTTCACGAATATGGTTAGTGAGCTGCTGATTTAGTATTCGCTGAAGATAGGGAGTTCCCATACGATCAGCCATATGGCGATAACTAGGATGTGAAAGAAAAAATCTGCGTTCAGCTTCCAAAGCAGCACTGATATTTTTACGTCCTTCTATATCCCGCTGACTTCTATTGACAACCCCTACATAACCTAAAGAGAGCAACAAATTGTAAATGAAAGTTCAGAGAAAAGCTTAACAGACCTTAATTACTAAAACAATCAAAACTAGTTTCAAGAAATTAATGTCTCAATGGAAAATATGATAAAAAACAATACTTTCAGTTGTCTTTCATAAGCTCCAATTTATTCAGGGAATTATGAGAAACTAAGCGTACTATCTATTCAACTTAAAAAACAAGTTTAATATTGCAAAACGTAATAACCTCGTGATATGGTCTACAATTGAATAGTCTAAGCATCAAACTCAAAGTTTAAGCAATGCTCCCACCTAACACTGTCTATGTGTTTGAAAGACAATATGGCCTCACATTCAATATTACATAGGTACAAATCCTTCACGTGAACAATTAGTGGGGCAGGCATAATAATTCTGTAATCAGTCAGAAAGCTAATTCATCTTAAAAGACTAAAAGAGGCCTTACGTTTTTACTGTGGTTAGCAAAATTTCTTCCGCTTAAAATAGTAAACGACTGTGTTATTGTCAGTTACTGTTACAAAATCTACACTTTGGAGCAACGATCAGTTTGAAGAACCACTAAAACTAAAATTAATGGGAGCTGTTAGCAATCGAATCACATTTCACAGAACTCGGTAAAGCCCGTAAAGAGGGAAGTCACTCTTCTTTTGGTGACTTTCTGAATTCCCATAGGAAGTAACACAAGGAATTTACGTAGTACTTTGTACAGACAGTTGTTTGTTGCGAAAAGACTGAAATTTGAAGTAAAGGTTTTACTAGCTAATAATGACATACATAACTTCTTACAATACATGCGAGACTCTATTAGATTCTTCAGAAAGTTTGTCTGATAAAAATGTTCATCATTATATAAAATTTTTGTATTTATAATGCTGTGCAAAAAACAACTAAATTATTCTGATTCAACTTTTGAACATCAAGCATCTAAGTGTAGACAGTGGGTACTTAAAGTGCACAAATTTTGAGAAAAGACAAAGAAGAAACTCACCTCTCCGAAGTGGAAGTAGCCTATTTTCCAGGATTTCCTGCGCATCTGTACCATCATCCATCAAGTCTAACTTGGTTATGACTCCAATTGTACGTAGACCTTGCGGGTCATATTCTTTGGCAAGTTTTAAAGCGTCAGAATTAGCGAGATCAGAATTGGCGGGACTGACAGCCAAAATTAGACATGAATCTCTCTCAATAAATTCGATTATCATATTGCGTATTTGAGTTTCAATATCGGGAGGCTGATCCCCCACTGGCACTTTGGTCATTCCAGGAAGATCAATAAGAGTTAAATTGAGAACTATTATATAACAACACATTAGAGCCGAGAAAATGCAACACACCTCTTGGCGAGTGAATTCTGAGGTTGATAGGAATGTTCGAAATACCTTTGTTCGAACCAGTAACTCTCTCTGTTTCCTGTTCGATTTCTCGACGTATTTCATCAAAATCTGTGAACCTCTTGTTCTTACAATGAATGAATTCCCCATATTCAACTAGCAAAGTCAATTTATTTGATGTTTTAACCTACCTGACTTGTCATGCACCAGCTGCAATATAAGCGGTCTTCGTGTAACTATACCACTACCTCGTGGTAAGAAATCACTAAAGGACAAAATATTGACTTTTAAAGTACTCACCGTCCAACGAAATTCTCAAGCACAGAACTTTTACCAGCGCTCTGGCTACCTACAACTGCGATTTGAGGTAGATCCAGATTCAGTGGTAAGTTGAGAGACGCGAAAGCATCTTGAAGCTTGTTAACAAGCGGAATAAGCCTTTCCATCCCTTCATTTCCGTACATTTTGATGTGAACACACAAAAGTACGCAATTTTTGTAATGTCCACTGGTGTCTAACCTTCAAACGGTCACTTCAAGGTCGTCCTGATTTCAACACACTTAGTTGAGATAAAAACCTGTTTCAAAAGATTGAACGTTCAATTTGTTTACTACATATTGTAAGGCTTTAAATACAGCGGCTATTACCACAAATGACTTGAGTTTACTATAGTGTGGATTAATAAAAATGTAAACATAGTCATTTTTAGTTTGTGATGTATATGTGATGTCAAATTTTCAACCACAGAGTATCGAAGATAGCCTGAGACGAAATATGGTGTAGTAGCAAGTGGGAAACTTTAAAATATATTATGAATGTGACTCTGAAAAACACTTCATTTTCTGATAATCCTTCACTCCTCCTTGAGACTGACTATAAACATTTTCCCTTTAACTACTGTTAGTCAGATATATTAAGTCATAATGCCCAAGTCATTTTAAGTATTCAGAATTGGCATATTTTGACATTAGTTTTAGGTGACATCAAAAAATGAATGATGACACATTATCTCGAGAAATTCGAAGCTTTGCCGAGATAATTAGTCAACTCACTGACATATTAACAACCATGTTTGTAACATAATGAATTAACAGTATTAGTATTTTTTTATTTTCGGTAACAGCTTGATGCCACACCGTATTTTCAGTACAAGTATGACATTTTCAGCATGGATATCGGTAGCCCAAATTTTGCAGACCGACCATAGATATCGGGTGTGCGTCGGCGGAGGATCGAACCCCGGACAATTTGCATGGTCGGCGAGAGTCCTAACCACTGTGCCACCGACGCACAAGGGTATGAGGCATGTTTTACATGTATGTCTTTTCCCTGCTCCAAGTTCTGGGCATATCGGATGACAAGCATTGGACTAGAGCTGCTGACTAATAGTTTTGCAAAATTTTTATTTATCTTCCTATCCTTCTGTGTTTCTGGAGTTCGTTTCGAAAAGTCATCTTCACCCTGTCGATTAATTATTCTGTGTATTACCATTGTCGGTCGTTTGACTGGTTCAGTCGTTCTTCTACTATTCTATTCTCTTGACTGAATATTTTCACTGATCATTTGTCAGTCGTTGTTCCTCTTTTGTATTCAAGCTAATGGTTTCCCCATGTGGCTAACACACTTGAAGTTTGCTCTTATTAATGTCAGGTCATAATGTTTTCGACGGGGGGGCTCATATTGAATCCAAATACCTGTTTTTTCAATGCCTCATTGGGACTGAAGGTACTAACTCCTCACTTTTCGTTATATGCTAATTACCGTTCCGGGTTAGTTTGAAGTTGACAATTGTTAGGTGAATTTCTATACAAGGTATATGATTTATTGCATGGATACCTCATCTAAACTCGATGCTATCCCCTTTTCCTCCTGGCTTAGAAATTTCATTTCAACTTTGGAATCTGCTGTAACTACAAGGGGTGAGGATATAGGATATGATGTGCTAAATTTTCCGCGCCTCGGGTTTTCTCGTCTTTCATTGGCTGGAACAGTGGTGGCTAATTTGATATTTAATTTGTCCTTGTTAGGTGATGTCGTGTGCAGGCTTGTGTGGTTGAGGTATGCGTTGTTTACAAGCATATTTGATGAAAATAAATATAAAATTTGAGTATTCTAACGTTTTCTTTTACTTATTTTGTGCATGTACAAGGCTTGGTTTATCATACACTCGGATTGTTGGCCTATCGGTTGCTGGCGATGTCAAGGAACCCGTGAGTTCTTTGGCTTTTCTCGATTTTAGGTAATACGTGTAGCATTTTATTGGTGGATAATACTCAGTGATGTATTTCAATATTGCTTTTTCTACGGAATTGTATTGAAACAGTCGCGAGACAGATGGATACTAATTGACAAAGCCTTTTTAGTTTATTGCAGGCAGGCAATGCGAGTGAGATCATTATTTATCCTGTAATATTGTGTGCATAATTCTATTTTTGTTTACTCTCCCAACTTTTGTAGTTAATCATGTGCTGCATAAGTGTCAACGATGGACATGGTCTCGCAACTCTTGCGCATCTCAAGGCGGGAGAAGTAATCGCACAAATGGACCATTTTCTTAATATGTAAACAAACTAATGCTGTATTATAATAAATATGAACTTTCCATATAAATCTTGTTGTCTTTCAATTCATGTGTTCGCTTTGTGAGCACGGCATGCTAGACCGGTGCTCCCTAGGACTTGAACTCGTTACTATACTTAAATGTAATTCTGTAGGAACACTATCGACCGATATGCGTGGTGAGTTATAAGTAGTTTAGTGGACCTTAAGTCTCTGTCTACAGTTAGGTGAAAACGTCCCAGTCATATGCAAGTCTGTAGGGAACAATGACAACAATAGGTAGAACTTAGGCACTGCATTGCAGTTCCAGTTCGTATACGGTTAGGTGTATTCCAAATCAGTGTATTACTAATATTTAAATTAAAGCGTTATGGTAGCCCCTATGATAACGGGTGTTAACGCATACTGTAAAATTAAGTTTAGACATAACGAATAAATAAGTAGGTTGAGCTGTAGCAGTCGTAGTAACATTTCGCTTACGTTTAATTCTGCAGTCAAATAAATCATCAAGTATCATTGATAAGTCTGACATCTGCATCGTCATGCAAAAAAACTTAGTTTCACTCAGATAGAATAAGAAAAGTATTGTAAGCAGGATATATATATATATATATATATTTATTCCTGTTTATGCAGGAACATACCAATTGTACAGGCATGGATAAGTTATTATATAAATTACAGTTTGTTTGTTCAATCTAACATTAGAGTCAGTCAGAACAGTCTGCAAAATAGTCTGTCTGTGTAACACATAAAGAGATATAGAAATATTGTCTTCGCATTAACAAAAAACCCAGACTTCAGATGAGTGTGATACAAATATCTGGGAAAAATAAAGCTTGAAGTCAATTCTCCTATAAAACTTTGTTGTGAACAGCATCCGTGAGATAAAGTTTATTGATGTATTATTTTGAGTCAATAATGTATTTATTCCATTTTTGTCAGCAGTCTTATCGTAGTTTTATAATAGGAAAGAAATTTGATCTTTGATACGAAAGTTAGATAAGGTAGTGTTAGATTGTTTTACTGCATCAAATGGGGTCAATTCTAGAACTATCCATTTGCGCCATTTGCGTCAGCATGGCAGACTGTACATGTAAGTTGAGTAATACATTGAAAACTGTTTGAAAACCAGTTGCTTCTTTATTTCAGATCAAGAATACTCCTTGTACAGAATGTTAGCCAGCGTTTTCAAGTGGTTGCATCGGATCGTTCATGGAATTTGAGTTTGAATTTACATAAATGGTCATTTCAGTTTGGATGTTGGGTTGTTCGACCTCAACCAGGAGGTATATAGAAGTTTACGCTCAGCAGGGAGATAAAGTATGTAAATATGTCAAATCTATTTAATGAAAAAAATAAGCAAAGGTCTCTACACAATTGTTTTTCGTAATTATTTCGCCCATGTTGAATTGCTGTGACCAAGTTGACTGACATTACCGGATATCTGTAAATAAGTGAACAAAGTGTATGTTTTTAAATCGTTGAAGTAAGGAAGAAGTAATATTAAAGTTAAACGCTTTAAATTTCCATACCTTTGCTGAAAAAGGTTCATTTTCCTTTTTCATTCTTTGGTGATGACAGCATTCTTCTGTAGTTTTTAATGTCACACAGAGATTGTTCGTCTTATACAGTATAGCAGCAAGCAAATAATGAGTGCTAACTTGTAAACCATTCACAATGAACACTGTACAGAAAACTTCATCACATCTTCATTTTAACCAACTTTTCCTTCACGCACAGAAGCATGCAGTCGCTACATACACTCAAGCATTGTAACCTGAACATCACAAAATCCCTACAGATAACTTCTTTCATAATAAATAATTTAAACATATGAGCTATAAGTGCTTCTTCCATATCCTTCATAGCCACAAGTAATTCATTAAGGATATCAGAATATAAAAAGACAGAATATCTTAGTGATCTGAACACGAACAATTGTTAAGACTGGGATAACTTATGTAACAGGTGCAGTAGTTGTAGGACACACCTCTTAGCTACTAATCCACAGAAAGTTCATACTAATTTTAAGTAGTCTGACATTTCATGAGGACCACCTACACTATTCTTCGTGACCCGATACAGACTGATATAAACATAATCTGATGCCATTTTTGACAATGAACAATTAAAGCCTTCTGACATTCCAAGTGAAATGTCAATTAAACCAGTATCATATCTTCGCCTAAGCAATTTTAAATGGGAACTTCATCAAAGTACATATAATCGCCAGGAAATGCAGCAGCCTGTCTCATACATCGCATGTTCTCTTCCATGTGTTATGGGATATTTCATTCATCATAGATGATAAAGGAAGTGTCTAACATCCTCAAAACACACATCTAACTTATGTCTGTAGACTATTTCTCTTTCAAACGCACGATTCTCATAGAATAACTGGGATGACAACAGCCATTGCCTGCAGTCAATTTACAACCTTAAGATGTGGAACAACTCACAAAAAACAATGCCTCAATGCTCTAAAACCCTAATAATAGACTTGTTATGCGATATTTCTTCAAAATGATGACTTTTTCATTAGTAATTCGTCTAGGCTGTCATGACAATTTTAACGCATTACTTATTGCATTTTTCGGCTACAGAAGCCTAAAACTAGTTAAATATAATCTATTTTCACAATACTGAGCGATTATAACGTCTCTATAGGCGTGAGCGCGATAACCCACACAATGCGCGGAAACACATCGTCATAGAATATTGCCTCCCTCAACTACAGGTTAAAACAAAAAACAAAATGAGTGCTGAAGATGGATTGTCCGATAGTGAATTTGTTTGACTTCATTCAGATTCATAAGTTACTAATCACAGTAGTGTGCAAGGAGCCTCACTGTTCTCGCTTTAAATTAGAGATATATCCAGTTCTATAAAGTTCTCCAAGTTGTTTCCCTGTGAAGCTATATGCCTATTATTATCTTAGAAAAATTCTTCATTATAAGAAGAGCCTGGTAGCTTTATAAGGTGCAGCAAGCT